GGAAGAGCTAGCTCATGGGAATGGAGAAAAGGAGAAGGAGTGCTCAGGGAAGTCTTGGAAATTGATTGCAAGCCTTGCCTTCTTTCCTGCCCCAGTTGTGAGGGAAACAGAAAAGCAATACAGTCCAAAGCACATGCCCCTGCGGTCAGAAGGGTCAGCCCAGAAGAAGGGGTCTGCGACATTCTCTTCCCAACCTCCATGCAGGCCATCCCAGACCCCAAGCTCTGGGTCATCCTGCCTTTCCCAGCGGCCAGCCTACCTCAGTCAACCTAGGGTGGCTGTCTTCCGGCTCCCTGAGCAGTGCGTTTAACCTTTGTGACTTACACAGATCGGTTGCCTTAGTTGAGTTCTCTGCAAAAACGTGTCAACCTGCCTTGGAAACTGACAGCGCTCATTGCCTTCTTTCCCTGCCACAGTTGTGAGGGAAACAGAAGTAATAAAATTCAACTCCTATGCCCCTGAAGTCAGAAGTATCAGTGTGATTTAAAAACTGGGAAGGAATCCCAAACCTCATTTCCCTCCCTATAAAAATCAATTTTGGAAGCTCTTCAAAATGAAGTGAGAATGAAGCATGGCAATATATACCATAACACCTGGAACGACGAACGTATTGTTACCCATCTCATTTAACGTGAAAAGCGGGAGTTAAAAATGAGGCCTGGACTTCCCTGGTGGCGCAGTGGTTGAGAGTCTGCCTGCCGATGCAGGGGACACGGGTTCGTGCCCCGGTCCGGGAAGATCCCACATGCCGCGGAGTGGCTGGGCCCGTGAGCCATGGCCGCTGAGCCTGCGCGTCCGGAGCCTGTGCTCCGCAACGGGAGAGGCCACAGCAGTGAGAGGCCCACGTACCGCAAAAAAAAAAAAAAAAAAAAAAATGCGGCCTGTCACTGAACGTGCCTGTCTGAACACCTTCACGGACTCGTGTTGGGAGGGAGATGCCCGACCCCTGTCCTGTAGCCAACTTTCTTCCCTTGAGCACAAGCTGAAAGCGTGGTTCATCCCCCCCTACCCTCCCCCTTCAGTGTCTTCTTCCACATCCCCTGGGACTTCTCAAGCTCTCACCACCCCAAGTCTGAATGCCGTGCCAAGAATCTTGGCAATTGTGTAAACTGATACAAAAGGCAGAACAGGCTCTCCTGTCACTTAGAAGGTTCTGACTCATACAAGACAGGAAATGCGCAGGGTCTAGAAGAGCAGGGAGATGCGAGCCACTCCCTCTGCACTAGTGATAAACCTTCCCCATCTGCTTTATTTTCCCGCAGGCCAGGGGTCAGCAGCCACTCCAGCCTTGAGAGCCATCAGCAGCAGGGGCTGGAGGGGGGTGGCGCTTAGCAGTGACAGAGGTGCCGCCAGCAAGCTTATGACAGAGGCAGAGATGGAGCAGAAAGCTGAGAAAAGGCAAGGGGAGGAGGAGGAGGGAAAGGAGGAAGGAGAAGGTAGCAAAGGACAGAAAAGCGTTAGCCTCACCCCCGCTCTCTCTCCCTGGCTCCCCTGTTCCCACCCACTTAGAACTGCTTTAGAAACAGTATAAAGCTTTAGGCAAGCTGAAGTATTTCTGGTATTAATATCCATATCATTAGGACTCACATTAAATTAATTAATATGGGTAGACCACTTAGAAGAGTGCCCAGAACATACTAAACAGTCAATAAATGTGAGCTATTTTATCATTGCTACAAACCACTGATTAACTGATTGAGAAATTTTAAAATGCAATCAAGAAGACGTTTTATTATTTGGCCAGCTAATGGTTGGTTTAATATATTCCTTTAAATTGATTGGATCTTTGGGCATCATGCAGGCATAACTTCTGTCTCTCTACTAGGCCCCATATCTGGTTAAAAATTTAAGAATAAACCAGGTGTACAGTTCTCTACTTTGCCATCTTCTTCACTTGCTCATTTTAGACTGCAGATGCACTTGACTTGCTCTTCAGGGGAGAAACTTAGATTCAAAAGTCAAGCAGTGCATGCAATAGCAGCTAAGGTATCAGATAGAGGTGCTGGGTCTACTTCTGGCTCACAGCCACGGTCCACACTGGAAGAGCAACAATGATAAGACCAGTGGCTTTTTTTTTTTTTTTTTTTACAAATTTATTTATTTATTTTTGGCTGCGTTGGGTCTTCGTTGCTACGCGCAGGCTTTTTTTAGCCACAACTACTGAGCCCGCGAGCCACAACTACTGAAGTCCCCGCGCCTACAGCCCCTGCTCCGCAACAACAGAAACCACCGCTATGAGAAGCCCGCGCACTGCAACGAAGAGTAGCCCCTGCTCACCGCAATTGGACCAGCGGCTTTTTAAGCATCTCACTTAAGCACTGACCTCCATGCACAAAGGCACAGAAAAGAAGGATCATGTTATCTGAAGATTTTATTAGTAAGTGCCCCAAACTGAGAGGCTAAATTAAAAACTACTTCATGATATTAGGATCATATGTGGTGGTAGGGGTGTGTATGTGCATATGTGTGGGTAAGTGGAGGGGGCAGGGCAGAATCCAGCTCCTGCTTTGTTCTTAGCACATTTCCGGAAAGAGCCTAGTTTTTACCGAAGGAGGAATAAGGCCCAGAATAGTCCAATAACTTGTCTGAAGTCACATGAGAAGTGACAAAATTGCTCCCTGGGCCCCATACTCTTTGCACTGAAGCAGTCTTAAAATAGACACTGCAGATAAAGGAGAGGTGGCCTGGCTGGAAGTGGATATGATTCACAAAGAGAGGAATATCAGATGGTAATCATATTAAAGGAGGATTTAGATGATGCTAAACGGAGCAGCTTGTTGGGTATCTCTTGATTCCAGCCATCCCGTTTGTGTCATTTTGGCCCTTGCGCTGAGTAGGGGATTAAAACCAACCAGGTAAGGTTTACACGACCCTAAAAAATCCTAATGGGCACTGTCAGGATTTGTTCTCTTGAGTATGTCACTCAGCAAAAATGCACAAACCATCCCGTGGATCTCGGGCAATTCTTTTATGAAGCTTGACGCACACCGCCAAACGAATGTTTATCATAATAAACTGCAATTAGTTCACTAGCACACCGCTGAATTCTCTTAGCTCAAAGTTGACAGCAAAAGACTTATCAGAAAGGGGGTGGGGAGAAGTGAAGCTTTTAATAAGATTTCTTTAAAATGTTTAGCCATCGTCATCATGCAGGAGAAACGGGTTCGATCCCTGGTCAGGGAACTAAGATCCTACATGCCACAAAGTGTGGCCAAAAAAAAAAAAAAAAAAAAAAAGTTTAGCCATTGTCACAATCTTCAGCTTTAGAAGAAATCTGCTAGAGTGTTCTGTCGAAACAGTAAACCAGTGCTCTGTTCCAACAGAGACTTTAAAATACTGAAGCAGTAAGTACAAGAAGGAGCCTCACTTTTAATGTGTTTGGCCAAGGAAAAACTTTGCTTATAACCCATTTGGCAAGAAAAATACATTGGTATTGGATAGCAAAGAGAAATTGGTGGCTTGCAGTATAAACACTCCAACTTTCAAGGAAAAACCATGACTTTCCCGCTGCTAAACTTCCCCATTCAGTTCTTCATAAGCCACAAAAACTGATCTGCTAAGGAGAAGGGTCCCCAGAGGAATGGGCAAGCAGCGGGGGACAGTGGGGTTCAGGTCGGTATTGACAAGGCCAGACCGAGGTGCCCCTTTCTCCTTTTTTTTTTTTTTGCGGTACGTGGGCCTCTCACTGTTGTGGCCTCTCCCGTTGCGGAGCACAGGCTCCGGATGCGCAGGCTCAGCGGCCATGGCTCACGGGCCCAGCCGCTCCGCGGCACGTGGGATCCTCCCGGACCGGGGCACGAACCCGTGTCCCCTGCATCGGCAGGCGGACTCTCAACCACTGCGCCACCAGGGAAGCCCGCCCCTTTCTCCTTTGACACTGAGAACTTTGCGGGCATTTGGGGGTACCTATCTGCGTAAGGAAAGCAAGAACATTAACATAAGGTCCGCGCACGAGCAGATGTGGGGGAAAAATTCTCCTCCTCAAGGTACTACAAGAGAAGGACCACCTTTGTCAAGCCACAGCCTGTCCATTCTCATCATCAGAGGTTCAGCCTGCAGAACCCTTCCCACATTCCCACTTCCAGCCATCATTGCCCCAGTCAGCAGGGCTCAGCGAAATGCTTTTGTGGGTACTGGGAGATTCGCTGGTGTTGTCTCATGGAAAGTCATCCCGTTCAATGAAAAACGCTGAGGCACCACATCAGCCAGTAAAGAAATGCCTTACTCATAGCCACACATCTCTTATAGTTGCATAGATACGGCTTTCTGGGAACCATCTGCACTGCTTCATATGTGCCTGGAATATGCAGGTTGCAAACACATGCAAGTATGTATAAGACCGTATGAAGGAAGGGCAGCAAGCCCGTGAAGCTGCACGTGTGCAAAGTGAACACACAAGGGTGTCCTCCCAGAAGAACAAAACCAGAAGCAAACAAGCGAACAGAGACGTCCATGGGTCTCTCATCATAGGTACTTGGGAAATTCTCACACCGTTTCTTCCAGAAAGGAAATGAATGCTCATGAAAGTTTGAAACCGTGGAATCACTTCCCCATCAATCTTTCTAGACATTTTAAGAAAACAACTTTTGAAGCTACCACTGAACGCAGCATATGTCAACTCAATCCACACGCCAGAATCTAAATGTGAAAAAGGCCTATTGGGGGAGGGACCTCTTCTCTGGAAAGGGAATCACTCTGTGTGTGTTCCTTGCTGCCGTTTCTTTGGATTCGCCAGTTCCCTCTTGTGTGGCCACATGGGTCTTCCAAGCAAGCAGCAGAGGCGGGGGATGGGAAAGGAAACGGAAGTGGGTCAGCTCCCAGGACTCTGACGGGACCCACGGGGGGGGCTCTTCATTGCCACTCGACCTCTTACCCTACTGGGGGATGCTTGTGTGAGATACCAAAGCAAAAAAAAAAAAGACAGATTTGGGGCATTTCTAAAGAAAATAATTTTTTTTTTAAAAAAGGGAGATGACCGAAAAACAAAGATGAGTTCCTACCTCAAAGTCATTTGCTTTATTGTAGTGCATGTTCAGAGCCCTGTACAGCTCACAGTCTCTGGTTATAGACAGCTCTTCGGTACTGGTGACCCCATCGTTGATGGCTTGACGCGCGTACTTCTCCATCTGAATGTAGTAAAACTCACGGAAATTGCTAAACCACTTGATGAGCTGAGAGGTAATGCATCTGTTGAACTGTTAAATTTAAATGTTGAAAAGGATAAGAACATTGCCATTTTTCTTCATTCATTCTTTAAGCATTTGAAGAATTTTTAAAGTTCCCCTCCCTTCCTTACTTGGAAAGGTATGTGTTTAATTCCACCAAAATGGTGGCAAGAGCAATGATATACTTACGGGATATTATAAAACCAACTAACGATGGAAACTGCGTCACGACCCTCCACATCTCAAATGGAAACCTCATGTTCTAAATCTGATTTTCCTTAAGCTGAATGTCTTATTTGAAACGTTGTCCTTCATCTTTCGGTAGAACAAACTGCATTTGTATACTTCTTGTGGACATTCGTTCAAGCCACAGAATCCTGGGAAGTCGTCATATTCAAGTACCAGAGATGGTGAGTCACGTGACTTCACCACGAGCGTGATTTATTTTTTAAAGAGAATTTGTGTCACCACATGACAATCTCATTCAATGCTGGCAAATGGCTTTCACACAAAAGGGGAGGAATCTGGCACTCGCTTAGTTTTGGGTAATGGGTGATCCCCGTGGCTGTCGGCTATGATTCCACTTAATGTCTGCACCCGGTACCCACGGCTGGTGCTGTCTGGTCAAACCTCCGTACCTGTTCATACACTTCCTACAGCCAGCACTGGAGAGGACCCATGCCCCCTTCCCACTGGAGTCTATGCAGTTTGGGAGGTGTGCTTAAGACACAGTCCACAGACAGCATAGACAGAATCTTATTACAGTGTTTTAAATGCCAAGTTACAACAACATGATCAGGCTTTACAACTTTGTTTACCAAGGTTTCCCAATGACCTTTTAAATGAAGATGTCTTCCTGGATTCATGCAAGTGATACCATTCTTATTGACAGTCCTCTGTGCACGTAAAGGACAGATGCATCTCAACTTGCCAAGTCAAAACCAATAAATCCATAGCTTTATATCAGGCAGGCTGACAGACAACCCCCTGCCTTTTGTCATCACAGACATTCCCTTCCCTGGGCCCCCAGAAAAAGATGGACATTCATCAAAAATCAACAAAGACCACTTATCAAACACTGGCCATGAGAACATCCAGACTCCAGCAAGATGACAGCTAAAGTGTGTATCGGGGCTGTAATTACTACACAGAAAGTTGTTTCTATACCAGCAAAGATAATAAATGAATGAAAATTTATGGCAGAGAATGGAAGTAACAAGGAAACAGAAGCAGGGAGACTGGTGTTTCTCCCAAAAGGCCAACTTGCATCATAATTGCCATGGAGTTGCAAGGGCCCTTACAGATAATTGACCAGAAAATGATTAAGTCATCAGCAAATCGCTTCTGCTTGCTAGAGTTCAAACATGTACTTAACCTATCCAAGAATTATATTTTCACTCTGTGTGTCTGCTCTGTCTCTATTCAGCCTTGCGGGGAACCCGATTAAAAAGACAACTGAAGGACCCCCGTTATCTGATCTTCTGGTTGCCGATTTCAATAGAACTTAAACCCATTACGATTTGCTGAACTTGGAGTTCTTTCCATTTTATCTCAGCAGTAAAATACACTGTCCAAATTTCCAGACACTGAGATAAGGACTACAGGCCCCCGTGACGGCTTACTGTTCCTTTTTAATTCTTTTAGAATAAGAAACAAAACATTACAAAATGATAGCAGGCTGTGCACTGGGGAATGAAAATTGCTTTGACATGGAGATTAGGCTTCTGTATTGTTACAAGACATTGTCTCATATGGACAAGAGTACTGTAGAGGAAAAAAATAGAAGGGTATTTTTTTTCTAGAATGGTCATGAATGACCTAATGGGGAAGGACAAAAAAGTAAGTGCACTCGCCATTATTTAGGAATGGGACATAAAGGGAGATTTAAAGCTTATTGTTAGAGAATGGAAATACCAGAGAGGAAGAATGGGCAAAAACAACAGACTCCCCAAACATGAGACAAGGAAAATGACCAGCACAACAGCTTGAAGAGCAGGGTTTGCTCCACGGGGAGGTAACTGAAATTTACTGAAATTCGTTCGGTTTGGGCTGCTGGCCACACCAGCAGAGGCCGGCCCCCTCTTTTCCAGAGAGTCACCTTGGGGGAGAAAAAGTGTGCAACTTGAAAGAGTTAATGTCCCCCATTCTGTAGTGGCTTCCCAGAAAAGGATCAATTGTTCTATCAAGGCAAGCTCTGTCGTGTTAATGTGTTACTGCAAAAACTGATCGCTACAATAAAGAGGCTGTGTTTCCACAGTGTACGAGTCTCTGTGACTTTGATTAATGCTTCCCACGGGACATCTCAGCCTCAATATGGGCTGGAGAAACTTCCTAAATATTCAATGAGCATGGTCAAAAGATGTATAAAACAAATCAATCTGACACCTTAATCTGGCCGGACAGCAGTTGACTCAAGGGGTGGAGGGAATGAGATACATCATTTAACACCGCCGGCTTGAAAAGCCGTGAGCGTCTGTTCTTCAAAGCTAAAATGGCACTGAATCTGTTGTACTTAGTGGTCTAAGAGTTATTAGTTTGTACATTAAAATCAGCACCCAGGAGCGCCCGGGAAGACGGTGGAGGCCCATGGATCCTCGGCCTCCGTCTCCCACATGCCCCCTTGCCCTTCTCAAAGGAGCTGAAGGCCCATGAGCTGAGCTTTTTGTCCGGCTGAATGTTGGGATGAGGGAATTAAGCTGGACTCTCTGTGAGAACACGGAACTTTGTTTAGATTCTTACTCTGGGAGTTCAACTAAGACGGCCCTGGTTTCGTCCTTCATGTATATCATCACCATAGAAGAATTTTTCTCACCAAGCCAACGTCTCTGAATTGTATAGGATTTCCTCCTACCTCTTTTTTTTTTTCCAAGGTAATTTAAAAACCTTCACTTCCTTCCCAGAGTGGAGAGTGAAGCACTGTCTCCCTTCCTAAGGAAAAATACAAGGGAGGGAGGATCGCTCTGGTGGGGCTCACCTACCAGGAGCTGGTTGGAGATTAACTCAGTCTAGCGCTACCTCCCAACTGTGTCTTGGATGGACACCTAGGCTACACCTTATTCATGAAACAAAATATTTTCCACTCGTGTGAGTCTCTTGGTTTTTTTACTTGCAAAACGAACTTCTGATCACTATTTGAAATGAAGTGACTCTGTGATTCAGAAAGCGACATTTTGCTAGAATTAGGAATTTTCTCTTCGTGTATGTGGCCACAAACAAGTATACGCTTGTATCATTGCGACAAGTATTACTTGGTCCAGAGTCACAAGAATATGTCCTTTTCAAGATATATGACGCAGGGTTTCATTTCTGATAAAACCCTAAGGTCTCTTCTCCAATTTCTAGGGATTTCTCAATTCTGTGGTTTCTTGAATCTGGACTGAAATAAAATTTTGGATCGTATATCTATATAGTTATTTCAGCCTTGCAAATAAGTATTCACATTTATATATCTAGATAGAGATATGTGTGTGTATATATATATATATATATATACACATACAAACACACTACATATATATATATATATAACACATACATATGCATGAGTATATGCACTGTCAATATTCAAATGCTGGATTTTCCTTAATATTAAAGAAATCCAAGAACGCTCTGCCATTGCTTCCTAGAAAGTTTCTGGAACACCTTGTCTGGACTATCCTTCCCTTTCTATGCATGACTTCCCACTATCATTCGTGTAAGCTCAGGGAATATAAATTCATTTATTACTAGCCAAAGAAAAAACACAATTAGGAAAGTTAAAAATGTATAATTCATTCCAAAAATAAAAGAGGAATGACCTTCAGTGACTTTCTGCTTTGCCTTATATGCCCTACTGTTTCCCCTCCATTAGAGTGGATAATTGGGAGTTAACCAGACTCACGTACATTCTAACTAACAGCCTTCTTTCCCAGTATGGATAGAATATGGATGGAATCTATAATCTGAATATTAATGCTTTTTTAAATGAAATGGTCACCCAGGTATTTAATTGTTATTTACATAAAGTGAGTGATTATTTGCAAAGCTGAATTACTAGATGTGTTCTAAAGGAATGGGAACAATTTCTCGGTGGTTTACAGTGCCCGGTATTTCTAAAGCTACAAATCCACTATCTCCCCCACCCTTGCCCTTCCCCCCGCCACACGTGTGCAAAAACATGAATGCTTCTAATATTTACATCTACTGTTGGATAGTGTTGCTGGCTCAGAATGGCTTCTACTTTCCACCCTCTAGGTGTCTGCATGTCAGCGGTAGATGAGTGATCCCTATGTATGCAGTTTGTAAAGCTCTTTGGCCTTCTGAATGAAAGGATATTGTATTATAGATAATATAAGGTGTTGTTATCATTATATCACAACACTGCAGATCACAGCACCAAGAGCAGTGAAGGAGGTAACATGGACATCTAAACACACACACACACACACACACACACACACACAATAACAATTTTCTCCCTCTCCTCAATGTCCCCCTCCTAGAACTAAAGGGTTGGGAGGATGCCCTGGAAGAAGAACTAGGCTCTAGAAGCTGGTTGGTCCTCAACCAATCGACAAATGCCCTTCAGTTTGTCAGTTTCAGATGGTCCCCCACGAGGTCCCAACCCTCCCCTGGTCTACTGTGGCACTCGACCTTTCTTGGGCTTAATGATTCTTATCCAGCTGTTTCAGTAACTGCCTCTCTCTGCCTTCCCATCCTGCCCAGTTTGCTGGCACTGAAGGAGGAGGAAACATGCCTTCCTTAAGGAGCTCAGCCAGGGAAGGAGAGAGATAAAAGGCTGAAGTTGCTACACGATTGAAAAGCAAACAGGAGGGAAAACAGAACTTTTCTTACAAGGCCAAGTAAAACACCAGTGAAGGCAAGACTGAAATGGGTCGGCCTGCGAAAGGGGCCAATGAAACGACTCAGACATCGGGCACAAAACCCACTGCAGAGAGAGGGGAGTCGCGGAGGAAGGGGCACATTTTGGCAGCTTGTGGGTTCTCCGTGGCAGAAATAAGAACTTGTACACACGGGGGTGGGCAGGAGAGGGTGGGGGGAAGAGCACCCAGCCTTAATAAACTAATCTCGGCTAATGTAATGTTTATCGAGTTCGTTGGATAATGATACCATGTGTGTCATTATCATCATCAAAACCCAATCTATGTTTTAAAAAGTTACAGATGATTAACACAACATCAAGTTGTTGCAAACAATTACTTAAAACCCACACATAGACACAGACGCATACACACACACACACACACACACACACACAGAACCAGGAGGTCCCCATATTCTGTAGAATGAGGGAGGCTGCAGCTGTAGGCCGACAGCTTTCATATCCTCATTTGAATAATGTGTCCTGAATCTGTCACTTTATTCATTCTCCTTATGCTCAGTGTACTCTACATCAACAACAAATTAAGTTGTAAATAAGAGACAATCATCACTTTTGTTTTTAAGCAGCTACTGCAGAGAGAATTTCAATGTACGCTCCTTTCGACAGGGGGAAAAAGAGGTGCTAGTGTTTGCTTTCCTAAGCACAAATATGGGGAAACTAACAGAAACAAAAACAGAAACAGTTTACTGTGGCTGAGGGGAGGAAAATAAAATTCTCTAAAGCACATCCCTCCAGGACCAACTGAAATTTCTTCCCAGGAGTTAAGACACATAAAGACGGAGGTTAAGTTTCCCGGACTAGAATGAAAACCTGTGCGCCCAGTCCTTTCTCTTAACACACAAGGAGCCTCCTCTTTGCTTGGCAAAGCCTTAGACCAAAGGACAAATGCATTAAATCAATTACAACGTAGGTGTATTCACCAACCAACTCCACACTCATCTCCATTAACTTCCAAGAGTTCAAATCACTACCTCATGCACAGAAATTGAAAACATTAATAATGAAATATGTCCTTACCTTTACATCAGAGAAGTAGGTTTTCAGCATGTTGGAGCTGGGATAACGGGTGTAAAAGAACATGAGCTTTGCTTTTTTCAAGTGATTGGGTGACAATCCTTCCTGCATGTAGGATGCAATTGGTTAAGGAAACAATTTCTTGAAACACAAGCACCTACCATCCCTCCCTTCCCCCCCCCCCCCCCCCCCCCCCCCCCCCCGCCAGGAATCTGGAGGGCCACCACCCAGCAGCCATAGGCATTCTGGAAGATAAATGGCGCTGGCCATGGAATCCACCACTAACTTGCTGCTGCCTGCTCACAATGACCACTGCCGGTCAGAATTTGCCAAATATAATGGCGAAGATGCACAATTTAGTTGCGGAATCCTGGAGACTTCGTGGTGAGGATGGCAAAACATTCCCCCTATTTGAAGTCCTTACGCTATCTATACGTTCACTTGTTGCTAAGGAGACAAATGCACCCAACAGGTACTGCACAACTCTTTATCATGAGAGTTTTTTCCTTCTTCACAATTACAGTTCTGTTTGTTCTCTCCGCTCTCTGCAGATGACATCCAATTATTACACTAATGTACACGAAAATATAAAATGCATTATTCTGAACACTGTCAGGCAAGCTTCACATTTCACCTTTCAGCGCTAATATAACGGAGCATCTTGACTCACTTTCTTCCTGTCTTATTTTTATATCCTTTTAATTGTTTCCTTTTCAATAACAGCTAAAACTGGGGAGGGGTAGTTTGGGCACCGAGAGAACGGGGAGGGGGGGTTGCTTTTGTCAGAGCAACGATCCAAAACCAAATACGATTTGCCTCTCCTGGATCTATAGTTAACTCCTTTGAGAGTGGCACAGTGGTTGGAGCTAACGAATCAATAAATGTGGGTTAGCAGATCAATAAATGGCCACTTACCCAAAATAAGAAGGTCTATTTATCTGGAAACATCATTACCTTTTAGATCTGTAAACAGCAGCAACTAAAACAGTTCCCAAGAGAATGTGAGGCTAAGCATAACCATCCAGGCTTCCTGATTCTCCCCCAGATTCTTGGCACTCTTCAGCAGACTCGGAGCTGGGATGGCTCTGGTCACATCTGTGCCGCAGCCTGGCCCTGCCATTTCCTCAGCAAATTAATGGCTTTATAATTTATCAGAAATGAAGATGCACGTGGAGAAAATCAATGTGGTCCCCCACAAGGTCAATTAAGGGTCCTTCCTAGAAGCTTCTCTAAGGATTTTCTCTTAAAAGAGAGTCTGGGAAAAAATAAGGGGAAAAAAAAGAAAAGAAAATATGTACGTGTGGGTGTGCGCACACACACACACGCACACATAAGCAAACACACACAGTTGGCTGACAAACCCAACAAAAATTTCACACCGTATGAAGCAAGGTCAAATAAACCCAGATATTTAGGAAAGGTGAAAGTTTCTAAATTACCATCATCAAGTACGGCATGACCAAGCTTAGGAACACAGGGAAACCAGAAAGTTCCTAGAGAAGCATAATCGAATTAATACTGATAAGTTCTGACTACTTATAACAGGGGGTTTGACCAAATATTCTGCTGAGAATTTGATCAATTCGCATTCCCGTTAATATCACGCAATTTGAAAAAGATCACCTTAGTTTGTAAATTGAAAGGTTAAATATTGAGCCTTTTGTTTTCACTGTAAATAAACACTGAAGAAAGAAATTTTGATGTTTTATCTGTAAGCCAAAGCAGTTTAACTGAACTTGTGTTTTTGTTTGAGATCCTTAATGATTACAAAGACGATAATTTATGACTGACATACTTCTTGTGCCAAGGAGAGGGCTGAAAGGCCCTCCAGTAACCTCCATTAGACTGAGAGAGGGGACTAAAGGAGCCCGGCACACTTCAGGACCATCTGTCCAAATGGATAAGTGAAATAATAGTTGCAAGCTGTCTCCTATTGCCTCATGATAAGAGTTTTAGGCAAGTCCAAACTTTGACAAACATCCTCAGATCTGGGTTCTAATCTGTTCTTTCAGAAGGCTACGTCCAAACAACCTAGTACAATTAATTATTAGCAGGGAAAAGTTCCAAACCTTTTCAAATTTGGTCTCATACAAAACGAATTGTTTTGCTGTGGTTCTCAGATAGTTATTGAGTCACCAAAACTTCCTGAAGCTTTCAGTGTCTTTAAATTATGCTAAGATGTTTTCGTCTTTTTTTATCTAAAAAGACAGAGCAAAGTATCCATCGTATTTTGGTTGGGATTTAAAGGCTTTTTATTTCATGAAAAAAATCATCCTAATTTGAATTTCTCAAGTACGTTTTTTTGCTTTAAAATGCTTCCTGTTGGAAATACTTGGAATCAATCAGTGGAAATGAAACACAGAATACATCTTTATTTCTTGCTCATCGTGTAATTAAGATAAAATTCCCATAAAATATATGTTTCTAATAAACTATTAAAAATAGCTAATGAAAGATTTAAAAGCCAACAGTTAGATAATCCTTTTTTTTTCTCTTCAAAATAAATCTGAACTGACCAATTGGTTAATTTCCCTTTTAAGTGCTTGTGCTGAAAAGCAACTGTTCTTCCAAGAAAGCACTAGCTGTTTCCAGGATACTTACACACGCACAATGACTCATGATGGAATAGATTCAGTAAACATACAGCTGTACTGAACACGAGCTAAGCTCCATTCAAGGCCAGGAAAGAAAATGAGCACAAATAAATATTAAGGAGGTAAAGGGGGGGGGGGGGTGAGGGGGGATGGAACGCAAACAAGATCTGTCCCGGCAGCTCATGTGGCTTTGCCTCAATTCTCTTAGCCATAGCTTTGTGAAGACAGATGACATTCAATTCTATGTATAATGCAAAATAGACAATAACTGCTGAAACTTGAGACAGCTGCCAGGTGTAAAAAAAAAAAAAAAAGAAAAGAAAAAGAAAGGAAAAGAAAAGAAAAAGAAAAAAAAAGATGATAAATCCATAAATTAATGAAAGACATCTGCTCGGGAATATAAAAGATAAGAGAAGTAGGGTACTGCAGCTGAACCTAAAATGGTGTGCAAACAACCTGAGAATTTAAGTGGTGTCTGTTTACCAAGCACAATATAACTTCACCTAAACAGCAGCCGCGGGAGAAGCAGCAGAGGCAGCAAAAAGGCAAATGGGAGAATAATAGGTTGTGAAGGCTGCAGGAAGAAAACTCTTTTTTTTCCAACTGAACCCTGAATTGTGACTAGAGGTTTTACATGCTGCAGTTCCAACCAAATGGATCGGGACCACTTGCTTACAATTTCTAAAGCGCTTTGAAACCCGGAGAATTTTAGCTTGCTCCTTAGGCTCTGATTTGCTATGTTTCTAGTTTTCCTCCCTTAGAATCCTTAAAAGGGGAGAAAAGATCTAAACCCTAACATTTAATTAAAGGGATAGAGCAAGTTGTTGCTCCACAAAGGAGTTTAACATAATCGGTGGGATGTGTAGTTTATGGATATATATATTTTTAATTTACTTAGTCCATAATTGGGGGGAGGGGGAAGGGGAATCCAGAGTCTTCCAATCTTTAATATACATGTTTCGCTACAGCTAATACACCTAACAGAATTCCTATGGCCCCGCACCACTTCCAAAGATGTAAAACATCAACTTCTATGGATTAATTCCCATTTTAGAAATTCATTTTTAACTCAGGTTTTCTAGATGGATTTTAGTTTCAAATTATTAAATCATTTTCCTTTTTGAACTTCACGTGTTTTTTAACCTTCTCCCTAAAAGTCGAACAGGGAAAGCTGACTGTCACGGAGAAGAGGTTCAGTTTCTTCCCTTGCATGTCTTAAGTGCTTAGAACACCACTCTTGTGCTCTAATTGGGTGCATGCAAATGTTTGAGGCCCGAACAAGGCTATTTTTCTTGGGATGCAAAGAGGATGAATGACAAGGAACATCAGGAGGAAAAACAACTGGCTGGCTGTTTCTTTTGAAATTTGAATAAAATTCAATATTTGATTAAATAGATTCATTTGCAAAGATACTGAACACAGTTTTTATATCCAAGATGTGACCTTCTGGTGCAGGTTCACTGACATTCAGTTTACCATGCACACACATTCACTAGTTCCTTTCTATTAGAAGGGGTAACAAGGTAGTGTGCTCTATTACGTACAACATATATGCCTAATGTGCTGAACTCAGAATGGATTTATCCGATAAGCTGGTGTTCTTAATAGTTCTTATCTTGGCTACTTTGTTCAGGGAAACAGATGATGTCTTTTGCGGTGGGAAAGAATTGTTCCTTAAGAATTCAATTATTCATTACAGTTTGGAAAGCCATGGACTAAAAATAAAAACAATAATGACAGTCATGAAGGTACCATTTCATCCCATTTCTCCTCATTTCTATTGATCTTTTCTAAGAGTAACTGCAGAACAGGTTCACATATGGCCTTGTCTACCTAAACTGAAGTAAGATGACTTGCTGTTATCTTACTTCAGTAAGATAACCAGAATCTCTGGTTCCCAGAGGTTTCTTTAAACTAAAAGCTTGAGAATTTTGCCTAGACACCATCAGGTAAGTCAAGGGGAGAACTCATCGCCATACAAGGATGGAGACAGGAGAAAAGCAGACCCAACCTCTCAGCAAACACTCAGATCCTCACTGGCTTCAGAACTGTGTGAACTCTAGAAAAGGATGCTTGCCTATCTTCTTCCTGAGAAATAATACAGCAAAGAGATAAACGGCTAAAAGGGCGAGATCATAGAAGGGAAAAGAGAAAGAAACAGAGGCTGGAAGGCCGGCATATGGGAAATGTAATCATTCATTGCAGCAAGAGGCCAAAATTATTTAGCTACACAAAATAAACAACTCCAGGTGTAAGCAACTAACATTTCATATGAATACAGGTGTTTCCAAACCGTTGCTGTTGAGCAGAATCTTCTATGGTAAGACAGAGGTGAAGTTATTCCTCTGAAGAAGAAGCAACTAAATTCTCTTTAAAGTCTTTGATATGTATAGAAAGAAAAGGAAGTTCTTTCTATTCAAATCCTCAAAATTCCTCAGGGGATTTAGAGAGGGTGAGACAGTGAGCATAGTCAACACTTAGAGCGATCTAAAGATTTTTTTCTTAGAAGACCCAACTTATTAAAAAAAAAAAAGCACAGGCATAATTATCTGGATACGGTGACAAGTCTAAAAAAAAAAAACAAAACAAAACCAGAAACTGGAATCTTGAGTTAAAGAGTTTAGTATGGCCTTATAAGACTTTGAAACCTGGCTTCAAATATTCATCCAAATGGGCACGTCCCTTTCCTGTGTGTGTGCGCACACACGCGCACAAGTGAGAGAGAGAGAAACAACCCACCATCACTACCACTGGCTTCAAAATGAAGTAAGGGATCTCTGAGGAGCAATGGGGTCTAGCCCTGGACATGAGCCTGGTATGAACCCCAGAAGGTGCTCTCCTGCAGAGGGTAAAAAAAAAAACATTCAAGGTCTGTGTCTATGTACTTTGCCTTTCTCATCACCAACAGCTATAGTCCAATTGGACCAATGTTTATTGCCTGCTTATGATGTGTAAGGCATGGTGCCTGGCGCAGCTTTGATTCATGACTGGTGGATTAAACTTTAGAGCTCTGAAAGTCAGAAGTTAAATCAGCAACCAAACCAACACTCGATTTCTATTTACATCTTAAGTCCTCAAATCTTTCTCTCAAGACGTCATTCTCCTCTTCCTCTCTATGGAAAGAGACAATGTGCTTAACTACCCAAGTGTGTCTCATACTTGTGGCTCCCATTCACCTTATCAGAAATCTTCACTGTTATCCTGAGCTGGCTGGAAGGAGATGAACTTCATATCAAGGAAAACACATTTCCACCATAGCTGGGACTTTGCACTTACACGGCAGCCTCTGGAGTAGGGTTAGATATGAAAATGTCAATCTCTAGTCATCAAGACGATTGCTCAAAACCCTTAATTTAGCAGCAGCCAACTTAATTGCTAAATTTCATATCCATCTGGCAATTTATAGAAAAGAAATGTCTCTAGTTGCCCCCCCCAATGCTACTATTCTACTCCCCCAAAACATCAACCACCACAAGATTTTAAAAAATTTACTGAAAGGACCAATTTACAGAGAAAAAAATCGTGAGTTAAAAATAGCTAGAGTTCAGGACAGGTCTAATCAAAAAATATAACTGGCATCTCTACATAAAAGTCAGGTTCAAAATATAAAAGAGACATAAAAGAGGCATTTTAAAGTCGAATACGGCTGAGTTTTATATTTAATTGTGCTCTCTCGCTTTCCAAAATAATTTGCTTTGTGTATGTTAGGACAAAAGATTTCTGTGTATGGCTGAACAGAGGTTAATCATGCATAGAGGCAGCTGCACCAGACCCAAAGAACAGACCTTGGGTGAACGGGAGAGAGATGGATACCGTCTGAATAAATCAGTACCTGTGTATTTCCTTTAAAACAAACAAACAAAAGAACACACCTCACTTAAAGAATAAGGAGAGACTCTAACTCCCTATCCACAACCATCTTTCTCCCACTGCAGCCTCCCATCAGTAGACTGTTCCTGGTAAGATTTAATCAGGCCTTCTTTAAACAGACCAGGAGCCTTATAGATTAACTAAAGGGAGAATTCTTCTTATGGAGTCTTAGGGATCTGAAAACTGATTTTTCTCTCTTTATTCTGCTATGAAACTTACATTAAAATAAAACCTGATAGAATTCAATATTACAATGAGATTTTTTTTTTTCCACCTCTAAATCTACTCTTGGGGGAAAAAAAAAAAAAGGATTAGAAGATAATACCAGAAGAAACAGCAGAAAAAACCCTGCTGCAAAAGCACAAATTAAATACTACCACTTTAGGGCAATTAACAACTTGTGAAAGTTACAAAAATGTTGGTTTCCTGTGAAGCTTTTGTGCAACCAGAAGTGCCTCACGCCTGCTGATAAAAGCCTATTACTCGGAAGAAGAGGAAAGACTGCATTCTTAAGAAGATAGTCATCTACATCATTCTAAATAATGTGTAAACCTGACCTTCTGGGAAACCTTTTTGGTTTGGGCTTGTCTTCCTTGGGGGGCAAATGAAAGGATATTGCACTTCCCGAATAAGGTGAGATTTCGGACATGTCTTGAAGATCGCCACACTCGGATTTGATGAGAGACAAGGAGAGCCCTTCTGCGGTGCTGGGTGGATGTGCTGGTGAACAAGGATGGTGGCTCAGGTGGTGGGATGACATCTTGGTCCTCAGACTCGTGGTCTCCCTAGTTAAGTCTAAGGATTCAGGAGAGGCTCTGTCTTTTCCCGAGAAGGAGCCGGAGGGAGCACCTAATGGACTCTGAAACGGGTAGGCCATCAGGGGGAGGGGAAAGGGGTGGCGGAAGGTGGACGTGGTAAAGCCTGCGGTGGCCGACAGAGGCGACTGGTGCAGGGGCTGGTGGTGACCGCCGGCAGGGGGGCCGGAGGCAGACTGGTCAGATGAGTTTTTGCGGACCACCAGGGGCAGTGCTTCTGTCTGGTCTGTGGAACTGGGCATCTGCACATTGCCAAAGGTGTCCAGGGGGTTCGGAATGATGACATCGCCAAAGCACTGCAGGCGCTGGTTGGCGGTGTGGAAATTGTGGTTCTCCCCGTTGACTGCAAATCTGGCCTGGGGGATCTGGAGCGGCGGAAAGACCTGAGGAACCTGGCGAGAGGGTTTGGCGGAGAAGACTTTGACCACAGTGTCCACAACTTGCGACATGGCAGTGTTCAGTTCTTGTTTCAAGGTCTCGGCCAAATGTTTGCCTTCGGGTTGTAAGGAGTTTGGCCCGTGGTCTCTTTCTTTGTTGTTGCCTTCTCGCTTCGGCTTGTTTTCGGCCATTTCCTGCTCCCGGATCAGGGCCCGGGCTCGGTCGATGAACTGCCCCGGGTCCAGCTCGCACATCTCATTGTCTGACCTCCCCACGGAGTCCTGGGCCCTGGCATCCAGGATCTCCGAGCGCATGCTGTCTTCAGACAGGTTACCATCTTCATCATTTTCAGAATCAGTGCTGTCATAGATCTGGTAGAACTTTTCCTGCAGCTGGCGCAGCTGTTTCTGCATGTCCTCCAGCTGCTGTTTCAGCTGTCGGCGCTCCTCTCGCTTCTGTTCTTTGCGGGCTGAAACCAGCTGCTGGAAACTCTGTTGCTGCTGCTGGGGCAGCTTCTGCTTGCGTTTGTTTTCTCGGTAACTTTCTCGGGGACTCACAGACTGCGGGGCCATATCTCTTTCATTTTCATTGCCCCGTAATGCCACACTGGGGGAATGGCTCATACCCCGGATTATATTCTCAACCCGGGCGCGCTTTGCTCTCAGGTGCTCGTCACATAAGCGATCCATATCAAACTGGCTCATAGTAGGCCTGCCAAAAGGGGAAAGACACTCTGGGGGGCTGTCTCTTGAAGAGTTGCTGCATATATCCTCCTGATGTACTTCGGAGCCTGTACTAGAGAGACCGCTGGCTTGGAAACTGGGCTCCGTGCCACCATTTTTGTTCATGTTATTTTTCAACAGCTGGGAAATTATGGTTGCTCCTGGAAAAGGCATCATGGCATCTTCATATGAGTTCGCCCTCTTCAGCAGCTTGCGGAGTACATTTGACTTTTCCCCATCTGCATGCTGCACCACTGAATACTCAACATCCTGCTCGGAACCTTGGGGATTCATGGCACTAAAAAACGTCGCTCTTGCCTTAGCAAAAAATGCAGATGCTGTCCCTACCGTCCTTTTCACTCCAATGTCAACTCTTCTCCTCTTGGTTTGCCGGCTTAAGAGGGCTGTGCTGTCATGGTCAGGCATCACTGGACAGTTATTGTGCCATCTTGAAAAGCTCGTCAGCTGGGCACAGCTCAAGAATCCTGGGACCCTGGCCAACAGAACAAAAGGACTGATGAATCATTTTCTTTAAATTTCTCCAAATTTCCTGACCTCAATCCTGAATCAAATGCAAAATGCATAGGCTCTGGGATTTATGGCACATTACAATTATTGCAATTTATTATGCACTCTGCTTGAAATGAAACATTTTTAAATATTTCTGCTCCACTGGTTTAAGATGGATTAAGATTAAAAAAAAAAAAAAAAAGCAAAAACTGCTTAAGCACCAGTAATATGATTCTCTTTCACAAATGCCTAAAATGATACTGTTTATCTTCAGAAGAAACAGTAGATTATAAGAACACAGCCTCTGACAACCAATTGATTAAATTTTGGGCACTGAGATTCATATTACAAAAGAAGATAAAAGTGGTCTATACTTAAGAAATAAGGTTACATTTTGAGGATGCGTGAAATTTGGATGAAAAATTCCATTTCTGCGATAAAATTATTGTGGCTTTAATGCGATTAAGGGGAAAAAATGACTCTAAAAATGCAAATATTTCACACACACCCTTTATTACTGAATTTTAAAACATTTTTGTCATATGTGAAATGGGGAGGAGAACACTCCCACCAGCATCTTTCCAACATAAATGGCCAATTTAGCATGGAAATAAGTGCACAAATACTCATTCTACAAGTCTGCTTATTTAGCACAGATATGTGCTTTTTATTACTAAAATCACATTTGAAGACGGTATCTGTTGCTGGATTTTAATGTAAGTATGAGAATATTTATAAATTTTCAAGATGTCATTTTTGATGACTTCAATTATTATAAAGTTGGACTCAGTGCAGAAGAAGGACATTGTCACATTTTAGAAATCAATCTGTGGAACAATAAATTGAGTTAGGCAAGGATAAATACATCTTCAGTGCTAGTTTTTTTTTCTATAATCTGCCAAAATAATACTTCAAACGCCTAAAGAAGCTCTTTAACATACACCATTTGTTAATCTTATTTCTTGTGCCAAATTAAAGGATGAGAAAAACACAGGCGGAAGAAAAAGACTGAAGGAAGATATATAAAGAAGAAAGAAAATAACATCAATTAAATATGTGAGAAAGGGAAATACCATCTCTGTATATGAACTTCCATTGTTTCTTGGGAACACAATATAAAAAGGCACTAGCATGACATTTTTTGTGACGTTAACCAGCGATGCTAACCCCAAATTTTGTATAAATGTTAAGATGTCGCATCTTTTTGCTTACAATGAACGTTTTATGAAGAAAATGAAAAATTTTTTTCACACAGGGTTTATCTAATATTAAACTTCACGTTTGCTTAACAGAGCACATCTTCACAATAACAGGGTCTATTGCCAAAGGCAGCGTGCAGAGTGTTTGGAACAGCTCCCATCTCTTTCGGTTCACCTGTAAAAACATCTACGTGCTCCCTAGGACTGCATCTGTGGCTAGTTTTAAAGAATGACTATCCATGCAAATAGGCATAATTTCAGCATGAAATAACCTGTAAAAATCAAGAAAATGCTCAATGCTTAGATGGCAATGTGTATTTTTTTAAGCGACAAAGATTTCATCATGTAGCCCTTGTTCTCAGTTTTTATATGAAGATAATACATTTAAATAAAGGCTGTATCAGAGTGTCAAGAAAGCAACATGATGCTTTTTTGTATGTTTTTTTGGATGCTTGAGGGTAAAATACTTTTTTGTGTGCCTCAGGATAAAATTTCCTGAACTTGGAATGGAAACAGATCTTGATAACTTCAATGTATAGGGTTCAAAACTGAATTCAAGATGATTGTGACCCCTCACACATTAATAAATGAAATTGGTTTCAGGAATACAAAAATGCAATGGCAAATATTTCACTAACATGTTAGATCTGATAAATCAGGTGCAGCTGTCAGGTGAGAGAAAGAAAAAAGGGGAGACGGAGACAAACAAGAGAAAAGATGAATTATTTTAAAGCTCAGAAAGACTTGCATATTGAAGTGGGATGTCTTTGCGAGGAGGACTTTGTGTGTGTAGATCAGCTTTTCAAAAATAGAGTTTATTGCCATTCTTTAAAAATTTTACCTCTTGTCTTTTTGGGTGCAAATCATTTTCTCTTTAATATCACCTGAAAAGCACATAGATCACCAATCAAAATGTTGAACAAACTTTCTGCAGTATTTTCTTCCCCTGTTCCTCTTAACATCCAATCTGGGTTTTCCCCCTACCCATCCTTGCTACAGGAAGAGCATCTCCGCAACAGAGGCTCAGAAACAACACGCTGGTGTAAGAGATGAGCACAAGGTCATCCCCAGCCATCCTTCCCTTCCCAGCGGCCATTTACCTCTGCGTCAACTGCACTTCCTCTCATCTAGCCTAGGTATCAACAGCTGCATCCCTACCTCATGCCTGAGCCAAGGGGAAGGCTGTGCTCTTCCTAAGGTGGAAAGAAATCACATTCTCATCTTCAGTGGAGAATACATGTTAATTAAACGTGCTTGTTGTGTCTTTTAAGAAGAAAATATCCTGTAACTTCCTTCAAATTCACCGAACGAAACTGATTTTTGCAATTTTCTCTCAACTGGTCAGCATTCTTGGATTAAATAATGATTTGTTTCTGTTTGGGGCTAAGAACATTTAAATATTTTGGGGTCTTATTGTAAAATGTACAGCTGAGACATAACAATCAGGACAAAACAAATGAGAAAACTAGGAACAATTATATAATCCAGCAAGACAAGGCATTATATTAGTAGGCGTGAATAAATAGATCTCTATGTATAGCTTTGACCTAAACTCAGAAATAAAGGTATAGTAGTCATACACATTGGGATTATAACCCACGAAGGCTATAGGCAAGATTAAATAATTATAACTGGCGGACTGTAGTACTTTATTAGCATCATGTTTCACAAACAAGATATATATATATATATATATATATATATATATATATATGAATATTTTACCACATAAGAAAATGCATTGTTAAATGACTATAATGTAAATTAAATCACTTGAAAACACTTTCAAAGGTGCTTCCATGATTTCCCAATTCAGAATTTAGAGACTGCTATGCAATTAATTTATCACTGATATCATCCTGTCCATTAAGATTTTTAAAAATTCCTTTATTTCTCAATATATGTACTAAGCCATATGTTTCAACTACAATTATTACTGATTCTTATTATGTTTTAATTTTTATATTAATTTTTAGTTTAACCCAGCGATATGAACCTTTTGATCAGCACTGGTGAACATCAGTATCAGCAAGTATGCAGAAAAATACTGACGTAGCATTTGAACCCAAATGTATTATCGATTGGATACACATATTCTATTCCTGTAAACTCCTCTGTAATTAATATGAAAATCTACATAGAATATTTTTATTATTAAATATTGTGTCGTACCACTTGGCATCTAACTACATAAACACTTTAATAATTCCTATATGAAGGGTATCTTAACATTAGCAGATTTCCTCCCAGAAAAAGGTAAGAACGTTCAACTATGATCAAGTCAGATTTTAACTACTCCAAAAGATTCTTCATTAAAATCTGAATTATCTGGAGAATGTCAGATAATTTAACATGGAGAATCCTAAGGAAGCTGATGACAACGTTAGTAGAAAAGAATTTTCAGGGAAGCATTTCAAAGGAACACTGCAGTGTGAAGTAGAAAGTGCTGAAGTGTTCTGCTTTAATAAAGAAGTTATTTGGGGAAGGGGATGCAACTTTTATGCCTCGATCTGGAGTCCAGATTCTAGACAAAGAAGTGATCACTATGATTATTACTCAGATAGTTCAGTCAAATCTTTCATGAGAAGGGGAAGGGTAAGGTTGGCATGGTTTCCTGCTTGGATGATTTAGACTATCTGTCTTTGTTGATAAAATGCTTTGAAGAAATTGCTCAAGCCTACACTTTACTTCTTTTAGAAAACAACCTTTGAGTGGGCCTCTGATCTACTTGGGTCAAGCGGCTTATGAAACTGCAAGTGGAAGAACACTAACAAAGAACCTTGTAAATCCATCTGGAAATCAGTAATTCAAGGGGGGCAATCAGATGATTTGATTTAGGTACTCCCCCACCCCTGCCCTTTACCAAGCTGTCCCCTTCACTGTATTTAAGAGTTCATTTCTGCTAATTAGCAACTTTTCCTTTGGAGATGTTTCTGCTCACTATCAGGCTAAGAAAGTCTTTGATGTTTATTGTGAGGAACCCACTTGACATTAGTTAATACTTAAATTAACTAACATTGTATTGTCAAAATCTTATATCAGGTTTAAATTTTCCTATGATAATAGAGATCTCAAATCAGAACCATTTTATCTTAAATTCCTCCATTCTATCAAAAATTTCATACATTTTTCACCTGCAAGATGAACACAGAGTATTTTCTGAGACATGCCTAAAATATTAAAAAGTAATAAGTCACCAAATTTGTAAATAAAAGAGAGTGAGAAATAACTTCAAGAGGAAACACTTACATTTATTTTTTTTCTGAAGAGAACTGAAATACTCTAAATGTTCTTTGAAGCTTTCGAATACACCAGGCAATAAGGTTTTAGAAATTCCTTATGTATATGTCCTTTCCAGTTTATACAGATACTTAATTAGAACCCAGTAATAATATATCATGCACAATCCATCTTCATATTATAAAATCAGTAACATTTTATAATCTTTTGTTAATCTTGAACCTAAATATTCCTTATATTTACAGTTGCAAATGCAAAACAATGCCTCTAAGAAATTCATGAAAAAAGGCCTATTTCATTTTGAACAAATAAAGAGTACGCCTGGCAGCTAGGTTATGTTTTAAGATTGTAAGTGCTACTTATAGAGGAAAGATGCGAGGGAATGAATAAAGTGAGAACAAAGATGCATGTTAGGTATGCATGACTTTTTCCCCACAAGGTCTTGGTGATTAACCTAAATAGAATTCTGCACAATGGACATATAAAAATATCAATAAGTGCCAAGCACAGATAACCCTTAATAAAAATAAAGCAAATGACATATCTGTAGATGACATTTGAGTTATGAAAGAACTTCAAAAGCATCCAAAGAAAGTATTAGGAGGAACTTGGATGTTTAAGTCAAAAGAATAAAATGACACATACTATCTCATTTTCATGAAACAAGGATGATCACCCAAGCCACCAAACCAACCAACAAAAACCATTCACCATCTGATCTATTTCTATGCAACTCAAGAAGCAGCCTGTTTAAAGAAAAAAAATTAAAAGGTCCGATATTGAGAATCCATATACTGTGCTTACCCTGAATTCTCAATCGCTTCCCTCACACATGAAGCCACAGTCCTTACTTTCATCTATTTTACTATTGCAGAAACAGGTCCATGTTGTAGCACATGGACAGGTTAACCAAATTACTCCCCTTTTTCTTCTTCACCACCCACAGCCCATTTCATTTTGATAATGCTCAGAAGTTCTTGCAAGAAACTTCAGAGGACTGACTGCCTACATCTTGCATCAAATAGAAAAGCACAGTTACCTCTCACATACTTGAGATTTTCCTTCTCCATCAAAGTAATAACTAGGACATCTGGCACATGTCTGGTACAATGACAGGCTCATTCTACTTTATGAGAGTATTTAACATACGACCTGCAAGAGTTTATGCACATACCTATTCCTTCTGGGCAGGGAGAAAGCGCGCTAAAGAACATAAGCTTTAAAAACAGTAACACTTTCAAACTGACTTTGGTATTCTTGGCAGGTACACACACCATCCATGGATGTCCAAAGCGCGCACACACACACACACACACACACACACACACACACAAGACGCTCTCACTACTCCCCCTCCCCCGAATGCCCCCAAAGACCTGGGAAATAGGCGTAAACCAGAGGGAAGCGAAGGGAAAGTCAATCTCCCTCCACCTGCTGCCTGAAGTGGGGGTACTTTCAGCTGCCTGGCAGACAGGAGCCCGAGACACAGCCTCAGCAGCAGCCTGCCAACATCCTTAAGAAAAATAAACAAACACATACCAACTTGTCCTCCACCCCCAACCAAAGAATTCACATGGCAGGGCTCAAAACGTAACAACAGCGCAGTTCCCATGAGCCCGGACAATCCTATTAACCAAGGCAACCATAAACCCATAAACCTCCGCAACCCTGGAGCACACCCTGAGGTCTGGAACTGTACAGACACACACAGACACAGAGGAAATTTGCACCTGTCTTTCTTGACATAACACACCTGTCAGGCCCTGCCCATGGCGCAGCTCTCGGCTAACAGACCTTTGTCTACCTAATCCAGGAAAGGACATTATTATAATTTTTTTTTTTTTTTTGTAAAGGAGGTTATAGATGGGAGAGAAGGGGTGGGGGGGAGAACAAGAGAAGAGACTTGTAGCCTTGACTTTGAGAGCAGGCCACCCTGTGCTTGCACTGTTATTATAAGCTCAAGGAGACAACATAGACCTTCTGGGAAAAATAAAAACAAGCAGGTGAGTTCCCAGCCTTCCCCCAGGCGGAGTGGGTTCTGGATTGCCAAGAACAGAAGTTTCACACTCCAGCCTGCCTCCTTGGGCTATTTAAGACTGTCGCTCAACCCCTCCTCCCAGGTCTTCTGTCGGCCAGCCTGGAGGACTCTCAACTTCCGAAAAAAAGCTGAGAAGTGGCGGGAGACCTGTGAGTCTCTCTCCAAAGCTACTCCCCCTTTGCCTCCCTCCCGCCCCCCGCCCCCCTCACCTCGCCCCTCCAATCCATACCCTCCACCTACGTTCAGTTTTAGCAGGAGGAGTAAGTGGCTGGCACAGCAGAAGAACCAACAATTTGCTAACCTGGGCTTTGGGTAATGTCTCCCCCCAGCTTGCCCCCGTCGTCCCCCTCCTTGCCGGTTCAGGCAAGATAGCAGCTCTTCTCGCCCCCTCACTATTCTTCCCAGTAACAATCACTCTCACCTCTTCACTCCTCCCTCTCCAGCCCTCCGGAGTGGGGCAAAATTGCAGGTACCACCCAGACGAACCAAGATCAGATCGAAGCAGCCCAACCACGTCGACTGCCAGCGGTGACTGCGAGCACATCCGCTGCCCGAGAACATCCTCTACCCCCACCCGGACCTCGATCCTTCCATCCTCCCGCCGCGCTTGAGCCCCAGTCCTCCCACCACAGGACCCCTGAGGCTCCCGGTGCCACCTTACCCTACTCAACTTGACCTAGCCCTGGGTCCTGGGAGCACAGGGGAGGGGCGCCGTGCTCGTTTCCCAGGACCATCTCTCCATTGCTCCAACCCTGATTTCAACATTTCGGCTTCGACAGCGTTTTGAGAGGAAAGTAACAGAGCGCCCCCCCCACACACACCTCCCTCTCCCTTCCTCCCTACTCCCTGGCCCTCTGCTGGGGTTAAAAAGGAGAAGTGAAAGGTATGCAAATGACAAGCAAATTGGAAGCTCCTGGAAGAAAGGCAGCTATAATAAACAAGACAAAGAGCAAGGACGTGGGGACTAGCCCAGGAGTTTTCACCGGGGGAGATGGGAAGGATGAGGCTGGGAGGAGAGCGGGGATCCAGACGAACAAAAAGCGACCCGGTCCCCCTCGCGGTCCTCTCTCCTGGGAAGAGAGGGCAAGAGAAAGAAGGAAAGGAAGGAAAAGCCTCCTCCCCCTCCAGAAACAGTACACAAAAGGTGACAAGATCAGCGACAAGTCCAGCACTATCAGCCTCCCCCCTCTCGCCAACACCACCCCCCAGCCACCAGCAGGAAAGAGAAAGAAAGAAAAGCCAAGCGGATCACTTACTCGTAGGAACTGGGAGAGGCGGAGCGCTGAGTTCCACTGAGGCTTCTGCTTAGAAACTGTTTAGACACTATTTTATTATGATTCATTTAAAGAACACCATTTTCTCCTGGGGAGGGTGGAAAGATGTTTACACGAGTATGAGTAATGGGAGTCTCTTTTCTTTTCTTCTCATTCAAGAACAAGCCGGTACAAGTGATTCTGGAAAAGGGGAGGGGACTCGCGAGGGGGAGAAGATACTTACTCGGTGCAGAGAGCAGTGGGACCGAGCCTTTTTTGCAGGCGGAGAGAGGAAAACACGCGCGCGCACACGCACGGTGAGATCTTGCGGGTGATGAATATGATAATTGGACAAGGGACGGTGAGTCCGTGCGGGAGCGCGCGAGCGGGCCGACGGGGAGAATGAGGGGAGAGAGAGGAGAGGGTGGGCAGGGAGAGGAGAGGAGGGAAGACAAGAAGAGAGGAGAGAGAGGAAGAGAAGACGCGAGAGGAGGAGAGAGGAGAATAGGAGAAGAGAGAAGAGAAGAGAAGAGAGTAGAAGAGGGGAGAGAGGAGAGGAGAGAAGAGGAGCGAAGCGGAGAGGGAGCAGGCGGACCCGGCGAGAGCTCTTTTGCGCCGCTCTGCTTTCCCCGGCTGCAATGGTGTATTATTTCAGAGCGCTCCCTCAGCTGAGGGCTCCGCTCCACAACAAGATTTACTTTAAGACACAGCTGAAGGAAACAGGAAGACTGCACGTCACAGTCTGACTGACGTACCCGGCCCCAGCACCCAATCGCGAGGCGCCTTCGGATTCAAGGGGGGATAGCGAGGCAAGAGAACTTGGGAGGAAAAAAAATATAAAAGGGGTGGGGGTGAGGGGCTGGGAGGAGAGGAGGGGAGAGGGGCCCCGCGCTCCCCTCCCCCGCCTCCATCCCCGCCCCCACCCCCCCTCACCCGCGCGCAGCCACTGCTTGGGGGCGACCGGATCGCCGCGCCCGGGCCGGAGCGAGCCATCTGCGGGCGCTGTGCAAAGCCGGCGACCGCGCGAGCGCCGCTCAGCTCACACTCGCTCTTCCAGGACGCAGGTCTTTTTTTTTTTTTTTTTTTTTTCCCCTTCATTTCCCAGATACAGCTGATCGAGTTCGCTGAGCGACAGAGCGAGTGAGCGCTCCTCGGACAGGGGTGGAGGAAGGCACAGAAAAGTATACTGGAGAAAAAGTGGAGGTTTTAGGGGTGGGGTGGTCTAAGAGGAGGGAGTGAGGATCCTCAAAACATTCCACTTTTTAAATGATCATAGCTAGTATCAGGAATACATGTCACCCTTGCTTCCTTTTAAAGGAGAGGCGGACAATAAAATACAGGTAGGTTTGGGATTAAAATAGTAGGTGTAAGAGGTTTCACACCGGCTCCGCTGCATCTGATATAAGAAGACTAGTATTGGCTGAATCCCAGTCAATCTCCCGTCAAAATTGTTAGGAAGAATATTTGTCCTTGGTTACCTCTAACAACTTTATTTGGATGGTAGGTACAGCAACCTTTACGGGAAAAAAAAATGTTACAAACAGTACCACGCGATTACGCTCAGTAACTCACTCACCCCAGAATGATTAAAGAGAGAGGTTTCAAATAGGATTTACACAGTTTTGACCCCTGGGTAACAAACTTTAAAGTATACTCGGCAAGAAATTTCAAACGCTTAAATTTCGGGCTTCTAAGTCAAGCCATAGAAAATTCACTTTGGTTTGACATTTCTTGGACGAAAAATAACCAGCAAGACTTCTTTAGATAACGTGGCTCTTAAAGGGCTTCTTGGGATTTGAAAGTTGCTAATGCTAAAGCGCAAGTGCCCAGCCGCAGCTAGAATGTCTCTTTCACCGGGCACAGTAAACGGCTTTTAATAAAGCAAATGCGCTTATGACTTAAAGATCCTATAAAAGCTAGGACTTGCAAGGGCTGCGAAGCAGAAACATTCATACCGAGTCGATAAGACACTCATTTTTTGGTAGGATGGGGACAAGTATTTTTCGTGTGTCCCTCGAATTTAATCAGAGCAAAGGTTGAATCGTGTTGCGTCGTGACAACAGAGTGTTTCTGAAGTGTGTTACAAGTGTACTGGCCGATCATTACCACCATCTGCAACACACGCACGCACACACTTTTCCTAGGACACTTACAATCTCAGCCTCAAATTCATCAAACTGTGAAGTCAAATCTTTGAATAAGAATAGTGATGGTACTATGTTCGAGTCCATACCCTGCAGGAAACTTTTGGCACGGGACTCAAACATTGCAAAGAAGAAGAAAAAAAAAAATCAGGCCGGCCCGGTTAGGTGTTGGGAATAAGAAAAAAAGACTTGCTTGAGCATCTCCAGCCTTCATTTCTCCCCTTTTGCCGCCTCCTGACACTCCCCCCCCCCCCCCCCATTCCGGAAACAACACAGACCCTCACAAACACACTACTCACACTTCCAATGATCGGCTACTGTATTAAGCGTTCTAACTGAGAAGGGACAATTTAGGCTGGGGACAGAATCTATCAACGTGCCCATTACATACAGGACGGAATAATGCTTCTGTTGGTTGGGTCCTTTCGAGGGAAGCGGGTGTACTGAGCGGGGAAATGTGGGTTCTGTGAATGAATCAAGGCTACTTCCTTTCTTCTTTTTCGCCCTATTATTTTCCTTAAGTATCCCAGTATGTACATGTGAGCGCCAGCCCACAAATAAACTGGCAGGAGTAAAGGATACATGCCCTCCACACCTTAAAACCATCTGCTCAGTTTGACATTTAAAAGGGAGGAGGGCAGGGAAGGAGGAGGGGGAGAAGGGGGAAGAAAGGAAGCTGGGAGGGAGAAAAGGTTCAGACCCTGGAAGGAAACGGCTTGAACTTTAGCCCACAAGTTTATGTCACTTGCACCTAGCGCTCGGGTGCAGTTTAGCACATACTACGCCCGGGAAGTGGCGGCGGGAAAAGTTCCCTGCGAGCCCCAGTAAGTCCTTTATCACTCCCGGGGGAAGGCAGGCCCCAGTCTTAGTCGGGGTAACCCTCTTGGCAAACAGGAAAGCTCCCCCACCCCCAGCCTCGGCGACGGAGGCTCGCGGCTTGCCAGCTCTGCCGCGGAGGTTCGCAGCCCGCATTTGGGCACAAGAGCGGCTTTTTGAAATAGCGCGCGCGACGCTGGACGCGCGAGCTCGGTCCACAGCCCAGCTCCGCGAGCTGCGTACGCGGAGCCCGGTCCTGTCCCCTAATGTCTAGGCGACGTACAGGCCAGGCTCCTGGCAACTTCTCTTGCCAGAGCTGCGGCGCTCTCCCGGGTCTCGCACCGCCCTGGAGCAAGGCGTGAGGCCCGAGCCCTCTATCTCGGGCTACTCCCGGTTTGTTTTCTGATAGGCGAGAAGCGATCAGTCAGCCCCGGAGACAAGAAGTCGCCTAGATATTAGCTCCATCTCTGAAACCAGCGGCCAAGCCTAGGGTCAGTCCCTTTCTCCGCCCCAATGCCAACACAACCCCAATAACTTAAAAGTTAACACAAGTTCTGACTGGTCTTCCAACAAACCCTATCCCTGCAAGCTACGTTTACTTATTTATCTGAAGGGTGATCTGTGCGTTCTTAGTCAAACTCTTGCACCTATCACTTATGCCTCTGGTTCTGGGTTAAACACACTTCGCCTTGACGTTTTCTCGGTGTATTTTACCCCTCCGGTTCTTTCTTAAAGCCAGTAGGTGGGGGTAGGAGAGAAGACTGCATATAAGTAATTTAAAACCTTACAAACAACCGTCAGCAGATCTTAAACAAACCAATTCTGGGAATTTCAACTAGACCAGTTGAGAGACAAACGTGGATGTTTATTTCAGGAGAAGGATGCTGGAGATCCAGCCTGGACACACACACAACACCATTCACCACTCACCACCACCACCACCCTGAAAAGAGGAAGAGAAAGAAATAAAAAACAGCTCTAGGGTGCAGGCCGGCCTTCTTCAGGCCGTCTAGAGGCAGACTGACTGCCTGCCTGCCGTATTCTCCCTCTCTCTCTCTCTGAATCCCTATGCCCAGTGTGACGCCAAGCCCAACCTGGATTTGTTCTGAATGGGGGGGAAAGTGAAATGCCACGAGATCAGTAGCAAGTAGCAGCTGCACGGTTTCTCTCCTGGGAACCCCACTGCTTAGAAGCCTCCCGAGTGATGTTTGTTTAACCAACAGCTTTCAAAGTAAACAGAAGCGAATCACTCCAAAGAAGCTGAAATATAACCCTTACAAGAATTTGGGGTAAGGGGGGTTGGCAGAAAAAAGTAATTTTTTAATTAATAAAACCCCCACCCCCAAATCAGGGCCCATCACGACGCCTAAAGGAGCCTAGAATTGTCATAAAAATAAAAATTCATTGAAAGGATTCCTTACAATAAAGTGGCCTCGAAGAAAATCCCTCTTCTCCCACAAACACACTCCCGCGGTTAGAGGGGGTTGGTTGTCAGTGACTGAAGGGGCACACTACTCCTTGATTTTATGGAAGAAGGCGAAAACAATCAAAGAGAGGTACGTTCCCTGCCCCGGAGTAGAAAGGAGTAGGCTGGGAGCTCTGCGTCGCCAACCCTGGCTCTGCCTCAGGCACCGAACTTTCCAATATCAAGATATTAACAGATGGTGGTGAGCACATGGAGGGCTGTTACTTACATAATCCAGCCACTCCGCCTGGCCGCGCTGAGCCCGGCGAGGCGCCCGCCAGGCCGAGCGCGCGCCTTCCGAGGGGTGCCGTTGCCCGCCCCCCGCCCCGAAATAAGTTGACTTTCTCCAACCCTACCCTGCTCTTGGAGGGCTAGGATTTGGAGAGGTCGTGATTTCAGAAAAAAATACACATCGATCTGCTTGTGCTTTATCCTCTTCAGTCCACAGTAGTGAAGAAGCCAAGGGCACAGGGAAGGGAAGGGGACGCTTTCGGGGAGAACGGGGCGCTCTCCCTCCGAATCTGGGGGTGCTAGGGAGTGGGATTCGCGCCATTTACACCCCTCCCTCTTTGGCGCGGATCAGCATCTCTTTCCCTGTCCCTGAAATACAAGGGCAGTCTCGAGCTGCAGCCGGGGGGCATGGGGTGGGGAGAGGGTGTGAGTGTGAGGGGACGCCTCTGCACGCGGGGGCGCAGTGGGCAAAGTTACGCAGAGCCTCTGGGCACCGCTACATTTCCGAGCTTCGGCAGGATTTTAAGCACTGGTTCCCACGCGTGGGGAGCCCCTTTCGGGCCGGGTGGCGCCCGCTGCCTGCACGCCCTCAGCGCTTCTCCGGAGGCCCAGGCCCTCCCCGTGTGCCTGTGTACCTCCGCGTGCGTGCCCGGGGACAGGTTTGTTTGACGAGCCTCCTTCCCTCTGGCGACTCGGGGCCGCCGAAACTCGCGCGGCACACGCCTGCGTGTGTTGGAAAAGTTTCGGGTCGGGAGGGAACGCTGGGAGTCTCCTCTCCGGCCCCAAGGCGGCAATGGG